TCTGGGGAAATGTCTATTCAAGTTCTCTGCCCATCTTTTTTTCTTTTTTTTTTTTTTTTTTGGCTGTTGCTGAACTGTGGGAGTTTTGTTTACATATTCTGGATGCTAATCTCTTACCAGATACAGGATTTGTAGAAACGTTTTCTCCCATCCTGTGGCACACAGGAGTTATTCTGATAAAATCCAATTTATGTTTTTTGTTTTTGTTGCGTTTTCAGTGTCATCTAAGAAATGACTGCCAAATTCTGCGTGATTAAGCTTTCCCCCCATGATTTATTCTAAGAGTTTTACAGTTTTTGCTCTTAGGTCTTTGATCCATTGTGAGTTAATTTTTTACTCGATGGTATAAAGGTTCCACTTTCTCCTTCAGCTTGTGGGTGCCCAGTTTCCCAGCACCATTCGTTGAAGAGACTGTCCTTTCCCTGTTTCACGTCCTAGCGCCCTTAATGAGAGCCATTCCCTCCCGCACGCGAGGGTTTCTCTGGGCGCTCCTCCCCACTGTCTGCACGTCTGTCTCTACGTCAGTACTGCACCGTGTTGGTGACTTGCTTTGTAGCAAGCTTTATGATCAGGAAGTGGCAAGACCTATAACTGACATTTAAAAGCCAGAGGTCAAGCCTGGTCAATAAACAAGTGTCAAGACTTGCAGTCCACCACACAAGGACTGTGGCAATCTTTCAAAAAATTCCTCATAATGGGCCCATTTCTTTACAGTATCTTAAGTCAATTGCAGCTTGTGTTCTTGTTGGTTTGGTGCTCAGCACTGGTATTTTTATGAAACTCAATTAGAGTTCTTTGGGCACAGGTAGGATAAATCAGTGTTGGGGTCTAAGGTACAAAACAGCCAAAGGGGAAAAGGTGCAACGTTCGCAAGCAAGAAAGCGTGGTTCTAAGCCCAGCCCCACACCTAAATTGGGGTATAAAGCTGGATAAGGTTATTAACTGCTCTGGGTATAACCTGCAGTAGAAATACTAATATCCACCCTGTGTAATTTATCAAGTAAGAATAAAAATTTGCTTATCAATAAAAGACAGTAGTCTCTGTCCGGAAATCTAACACAGGGAAAGGAATGGGACCAGCGGCGTGCTGCTGAGACGGCCCGGCTCACGGGCGAACGTAACATAAACAAAGTTTTACAATCACTGTCCTGCCTGCCCAGGTGGAGGACACGAGTATGTCTAAACTTAGCAACAACAGGACAGTGGCGGGGAGTGCAGGCTCCAGGCTCTGACAGGAATGGTCGTGAGCGCTGACTGTGCCACTCACTGGTTACCTCGCCAGCCCGAGTGTCTTCATTGGTAACACAGGAAAAGGACTCCAGCTGAGCTCATGGAGTTGTTGTGAAGGTCAATGACATCTTGTGTAATTAATGCTAATCCACAGTTAATGTAACAAAGCCTGATTTAGTAGTATTAGCATTAGGAGACACTGAACTCTGGGACTTCCGACAGCAGGTGTCTTTGCTGTGCGGGACCGAGTATCTGCAGAAAGAGCACTTACCCGGTCTCCAGGTCGTACCATTGGTTCTTGCTTTGTACCTAATTTATGCAGAATGTTGTAAGCAACCTTCATACTTCTTGTCCACAGTTTGCCTATTAACAGAAATGACAAAGACATAAGTAAGTGGACACATGCATTTTCAGTTATGTATCAATGTGCACATTAAACTAGAGAGAGTACTAGTTCATTTTAAGTCTTCAAGTTATCCTGAGTCCCTGGAATCAGGAAGGAAAATATGAGCCAGCAACTCTGATTCATAAAATCTGAGAAGCCTTAACACTGGAACAAGATACTGATACAAATACTCTCCACGTGCAGGTAGCTCCAGCAAAGCCACCGAAAATTTATCATCGCAGAAGCTGTAGGGGAAGGTTTCTAGGGAGTAAAGTAGGGCAGGGATCGCAGCAAGAGTGCCTACTGCTGATTTCGAGTTATGCAAAATGACACATCTCCTCCGTTAGTAGGTCCTGCCTCACGTGACCGTAACGAATGCAAAGGATACTTAGGATATAGGGTGGCTCAGTCGGTGAAGCGACTGCCTTCGGCTCAGGTCATGATCCTGGAGTCCCGGGATCGAGTCCCACATCGGGCTCCCTGCTCAGCGGGGAGTCTGCTTCTCCCTCTGACCCTCTTCCCTCTCGTGCTCTCTATCTCATTCTCTCTCTCAAATAAATAAATAAAATCTTAAAAAAAAAAAAAAGGATACACTTTGTAGAGCCTGCCCCCTCCATCCCCAAGTCCTGAGTTTCTCAGCATCAAATCTTCCTAGCCTCAGAGATTCAGGATTTTTGAAGAGGAATGCTGGAACTTACAGGTGGTACTAAGTATTCTGAGCTGAAGTTTTGAACTCCAGGAAAAAAAAAAGGACCACAAAGCAGGATTAAAAGCAGGATTTAGAAAAACCACGAGGGGCGCCTGGGTGGCTCAGTCGGTTAAGCGTCTGCCTTCAGCTCAGATCATGATCCTGGGGTCCTGGGATCGAGCCCCAAGTCAGGCTCCCTGCTCAGCGGGGAGCCTATTTCTCCCTCTGCCTGCTTCCCCTACTTGTGCTCTCTCTCTCTGTCAAAAAAATAAATAAAATCTTTAAAAAAATTAAAATAAGTTAAAAAGCCACAGAAGAAAGAATGGCCAGCTTTTTTTTTTTAAAGATTTTATTTATTTTTTTGAGAGAGAGAGAGAGAGAGAGAATGAGAGATAGCACAAGAGGGAAGAGGGTCAGAGAGAGAAGCAGACTCCCTGCCGAGCAGGGAGCCCGATGTGGGACTCGATCTTCGGACTCCAGGATCATGACCTGAGCCGAAGGCAGTCGCTTCACCGACTGAGCCACCCAGGCGCCCAAGAATGGCCAGCTTTGAAGAACCCACAACTTTCCTGTCCCTGCCCCCATCCCAGTGCTGGATACTCCCTCAGTGCAACCCAGGTGGGGACACAGCCTGAGACGAAATAAAATGACTCTGAAATCTAACATGAGCTCTTAGCCACATAAAGGTCCTTCATGACGTGAGCTTCCAGGCGCGTTCAGAAGCCGGCAAGGTGTGAGACGTTATGTTAATGTGTCATAACGACAGTTAGGAGCAACTTAAACTTTCCCATAAATAAAATCACTGTTTTAATCTTTTTCCTTTTAAATGTAAAAGCTAAATTAAGAAGATTTTTGTTTATAACATTTGTTTTGAATGAAAAAAGAGTCGAATTTGTTTTATTTCACATTGGATTTTGCAGCAATCCAAATTAGGGTTTTTACTATTTATCCACCACAAGATTTATCAACTTGTCTCCCCCTTAGCGATTAGGGGACATACAGAATGATTTATCTTGAGATCTCTAAGTCCTAGGGTATTCCTGGTTTATAGCATGTGCTCAACACACGTTTGTTTCATTTATGTCCTAGGCAATCTATAAAAAGCACAAAATTACACTATGTGCTTTGGCATTCTTCTCGAGCACTCAGAGTAATTACCAGAGATGAAGGTTTTGTCTGCCCCTGCACCCTCTTCTCTAGCTCCTCAACGCCGCAGTCCTGGGTATCTTACAAGCATTTGGTACTTTGTTGGGTGATCATATATTTTCCATAAAAACAGTTACTAGCTAGGGGCACCTGGATGGCTCAGTTGGTTAAGCGTCCAACTCTTGATTTTGGCTTGGATCATGATCTCAGGGTCGTGGGATCAAGCCCTGGGTTGGGTGCCGCATGCCGCACTCAGCAGAGAGTCAGCTGGGATTCTCTCTCCCTCTCCCTTTGCCCCTCCCCTGACTCACCCTCACGGGTGCACTCGTGCTAAGATAAATAAATAAATCTTTTTTTAAAAAAAGTCACTAGCTATTAGAAATGACTCAGTTCCAGAAATGAAAGGAACTTAAATGACTCTTTCTTCTAAAGAAAACACAAATATTTTTGCCTTCAAATTTTTAATATGCACAATATCAGGGAATAATGGTTAAATAAACAATTACAATCAGTTTGTTGTAATTGTAAAACTCAATGCTTTGCACATGAACAAATCAGTTACACTCAAACGATTAGCACCATTATGTTTTGTTAAAGTTCCAACTTCATTCTCAGTTTGGAATATTAACTTTGATGCCATCGTACATTCATACAAAAGCCAGTTTACAACCAAGAGCTTAAAATGGGCAATACACTTTTGGCAAAATACTAGAAATATACTTGACATTTTTCAAGGATAAAAATAGAAAGTTGTTGATTTAAGTGAAAGGAGATAACAACGGTTCTTCACTGATTTATAAAGGAGGAAGAAAAAAATTCCCACCAAGAAAAGTTCCTGGGAAAGTGATCATTCAGAGTGGAAGGACAGATAAAGTGTTTTCCTACGAGCAAATGCTAACAGACTTCATCACCACTAAATCGCACTTATAAGAAACATTAAAGGAACTTCTTCAAGCGGAAAAGAAAGGGCACTAAATTAGTAACAAGAAAACACATGAACGTATAAATCCCACTAGTGAAGGTAAATATATAGGAATGGTAGTGGACTCTATAAAGCTAGCATAAAGGTTAAAGAACAAAGTAGTAAATAGAGATATACAAGATAAAAAAGACGTAAAATGTGAGAACATAAATGTGGGCAGGGGGAGTAAAAATGTACAGGTTTGGACTGTGCTTGAACATAACTTGTTATAAACTTAAAATAGACTGTTATAAAAATAAGTTGTTATATGTAAGTGTCATGGAAACCACCAAGGAAACACCTCTGGCAGATCCACAAAATATAAAGAGAAAGAAATCTAAGGGTAACACTAAAAAAGTCGTCAAATCACAAAGGAAAAGAAAAAAAGAAACAGATCCTACTGAAAAACAACCAGAAAACAATTACCAAAATGGCAATAAGTACCTACTTATCAGTAATTACTTCAAATGTAGAAGGACTAAATTCTCTAAACAAAAGACATAGAGTGGATCAAAGGGGAAAAAACAAGAATAATCGATATGCTGCCTACAAGAGACTGATTTCAGATATAAAGACACACAGAGATGAAAGTGAAAGAATGTAGAAATATATTCCATGCAAATGGGAAAAAAAAAAGCTGAGGTAGCAATACTTATATCAGAAAAAACACAATTTATAACAAAGACGGTAATAAGAGACAAAGAAGGGAATTACATAATGATAAAGGGATCAATCCACTAAGATGACATAACATTTGTAAATATTTATGTACCCAACATAGGAGCACCTAAATACATAAATCAAATAATAGCCCTAAAGGGAGAAATTAATAGCAATACAATAATAGTAGGGAACTTTAATACCCCACTTACATCAATGGATAAATCATCCAGACAGAAAATCAGTAAGAAAACAGTAGCCTTGAACAGCACATTAGACCAGATGGACTTAATTTATGTAGAACACTCCATCCATAAGCAACAGAATGCACATTATTCTCAAGTGCACCTGGGACATTCTCCAGATCACACATTAGGCCACAAAATTCAAGAAGACTGAAATCATATCAAGCATCATTTCTGACCATAGCGGTAACAAACTAGAAATCAATTCTAAGAAGAAAGCTGGAACATTCACAAATATGTGGAGATTAAACAACATGCTACTAAGCAACCAGTGGGTCAACAAAGAAATCAAAGAAATAAAAAAATACCTTTAGACAAATGAAAATACAACATACCAAAACCTACAATTTGCAGCAAAAGTAGATTTAAGATGGAAGTACTTGGCAATACAGACCTGCCTCAAGAAACAAGAAAAATCTCCAATAAACAACCTTACACCTAACCTTACACCTCAAGGTTGGTAGGAAGTAGGAAAAAAACGAATGAAATCCAAGTTAGTTAAAAGAAGGAAATAACAAAGATCAGAGCAGAGCCACACGAAATAGAGACTAGAAAGACGATAGAAAAGCTCAATAAAACCAAGAGCTGGTTCTTTGAAAAGAGAAACAAAACTGACAACCTTTAGTTAGACTCACCAAGAAAAAAGGAGACTGGACTCAAAATCAGAAATGAAAGAGAAGTTACAACTGACACCACAGAAATACAGAGGATCAGAAGAGACTACCATGAACAGTTGTATGTCAACACACCAGACAAGCTAGAAGAAATGAATAAATCCCAGAAACCAAACCTATGATCTTCCAACAATGAAGCATGAGGAAACATAAAATCTGAATAGAACAATTACTAGTAAGGAGATTTAATCAGTCATTAAAAACCTCCCTACAAACAGAAGTCCACAAACAGATGGCTTTCCTGGTGAATTCTAACAGTCAAAGATTTAATACCTATCCTCCTCAAACTCTTCCCCCCCCCCAAAACAAAAAAGTGAGAGAAGGGAACGATTCCAAACTCATTTTATGAAGCCAGCATTAACCTGATACCAAAACCAGACAAGGACACCACAAAAGAAAAAAAAAAAAAACCCAAAAAACAAACAAACAAACAAAAACCCAGGCCCATATTCCTGATACAGATAGATGCAAAATTCTGCAACAAAATACTAGCAAACCGAATTCAACAATACATTGAAAGGATCACATACCATGATCAAGTGGGTTTATTCCAGGGACACATGGATGGTCCAACATCAACAAATCAATCAACATGATACATCACGTTAACAAAATGAATAAAAGTCCTATGTCCATACATGCAGAAAAAGCATTTAACAAAATTCAACATCTTTTTTGATGAGAAACTCTTAACAAAGTGAATATAGAGGGAACATACCTCAGTATAATAAAGGCCGTATATTACAAACCCACAGCTAATATACTCTGAAACCAGGAACAAGACAAGGGTGCCCAATCTCACTACTTTTATTCAACACAGTATTGGAAGTCCTAGCCAGAGTATTTGGGCAAGAAAAAGACATAAAAGGTATCTATATTGGAAAGGAAAAAGTAAAACTGTCTCTCTTTGAGGATTACGTAATTTTATTTTATTTTTTTTAAAGATTTTATTTATTTATTTGACAGAGAGACACAGCGAGAGAGGGAACACAAGCAGGGGGAGTGGGAGAGGGAGAAGCAGGTCTCCTGCTGAGCAGGGAGCCTGATGTGGGACTCGATCCCAGGACCCTGAGACCATGACCTGAGCTGAAGGAAGATGCTTAACAACTGAGCCACCCAGGTGCCCCAGGATTACATAATTTTATATATAGAAAATCCTAAAGATGCCACCAAAACCAAAACCAAACCAAACAAACCAAAAAACCCACAACCAAACTGTTAGACTTAATCAATGAATTGAGTAAAGCTGCAGAGTGCAAAATTAATATACAAAAATTGTATACAGTGAACTATCAGAGAAATTAAGAAAACATTTATAGTTGCATCAAAAAGAATAAAATAGCTAGGAATAATTTTAACCAAGGAGGGGAAAGACGTATACACTGAAAATGATACGACACTGATGAAAGAAGTTGAGGAAAACAGGAATAAATGTGAAGATATCCCATGCTCATGGACTGGGAGAAATAATATTGTTAAATGTCCATATTACCCAAAGTAATCTACAGATTTAGTGCCATTGATATCAAAATTCCTATGGCATTTTTCACAGAACTAGAACAAAGAATCCTAACATTTGTACAGAACCACAAAAGACCCCAAAAAGCCAAAACAATCTTGAGTAAGAAGAGCAAAGCTCGGGGCACCCAGCTCCTTGATTTTAGACTATATTACAAAGCTAAGGTAATTAAAAGTGTGGTATTGGCATTAAACAGACAGATGAGTGGAACAGAGAGCCCAGAAATAAACCCATTCTTATATGGTCAATTAAGAAGGCAAGAATACACAATGGGAGAAAAGGCATCCCTTCAATAAAAATAAATGGCAGTGGGAAAACTGGACGGCCACATGTACCAGAAGGAAACTAAACCACTATCTTACACCATACATAAAAATTAACTCAAAATGAATGAAAAACTTGAAGACTTGAAACCATAAAACTCCTAGAAGAAAACATAGATGCTAAGGTACTCAGTATCAGTCTTAGTGATTTTTTTTTGGATCTGACACCAAAAGCAAAAATAAGCAAGTGGGACCACGTTAAACTAAAAAGCTTTTGCACAGCAAAGGAAACAATCAGGACAATGAAAAAGCAAATTACAGATATCTGCAAATTATTTGTCCAATAAGGGTTTAATATCTAAAATATATAAAGAACTCCTACAACTCAATAGCAAAAAAACAATCTGATTTAAAAATGGGCAGAGGGACTGAACAGACATTTTTCCAAAGAAGGCATCCCGATGGCCAAGAGGCATATTTAGAGATCCTCAACATCACTGATCATCAGGCAGATTAAATCAAAATCAGAGAGACCACCTCACACCTGTCAGAACGGCTGGTATCAAAAAGACAAGAGATAACAAATGCAGGTGAAGATGTGGGGAAAGGGGAACCTTGTGCACCATTGGTGGGAATGCAAACTGGTGCAGCTGCTCTGGAAAACAGTGTGGAGGTTCTTCAAGAACTTAAAAATAGAACTACCCTGTGATCCAGCAAATCCCACTTGTAGGTATTTATCCAAAGCAAATAAAAACACTAACTTAAAAAGATATCTGCACCCCCTGTTCACTGCAGCATTATCTACAATAGCCAAGATATGGAAGCAACCCAACAGTCCATCAAGGGGTGGGTGGATAAAGGGCATGTGGTATATGTATACAATGGAATATTACTCAGCCATAATAAGGAATGAAATCTCTCCATGTGTGAGACCACGGATGGACTTGAACGCATTATGCTAAGTGAAAGAGGTAAAACAGAAAAACAAATACCTTATGATCTCACTTATTTGTAGACTCTAGAAACCAAGCTCATAGACACACAGAGAGCAGACTGGCTCTTCCAGAGGTGGGGGACAGGAGGGAGAAATGGGTGAAGGGGGGGCAAAGGTACAAACCTCCAGTTAGAAAGTAAGTCATGAGGTGTAACCTATAGGACGGTGACTGTGGTTAACACTAGTTAACAATAATACTGTATTGTCTATTTGAAACGTGGGAATTGGACATGACGTTCCAACAGATTTTGGCAAGTCGAACTGGAAAACAAATACTGAGACTCTAAGATAGTCGTGTGCACACAGAAGAGAGATGTGGACACGACGTACGCACTGTCTTATTACATAATTTCAGTTGGATTTCTGTGAGGAGCGTGCACCTGTAAGAGCGTAGCTCTGAGCACGGCGGCAGGTGGGTGAGGACGGGCTGTCAGACCTCACACGCCGCCCAGAAGCTGGGACGCCGGCACAGTGCAGAGACAGCCCGAGAAACACACCACCAACAACGCAAAACACAGAACGACAGAGAAAGGCTCCCCAGGGCTGTTCGAGCTCAAGCATCTAAATGTTCCAAAAGATCTGGAGCAAAAGCCAAGTCATAGGTCCTAAAAGGAAGGAAGAAGGAAGAAAAGAGAGGGAGGGAGGGGTGGGGAGGGGGAGGCTGCCTGGTAGTAAAAGCAACACTACAGCAAAGCGGATGAACTTGCAGGTATCTCGTCGAGAACGGGACGAAGCAGAGAATCGTGACGGAAGGAAAGGAGTTCCTTCGCATGATTTATTTTTATTAATTGAAGGTAGTGAAATGCCCTGGTTCTCCTCAGTGTGCATGTTATTTATATTGGTAAATGGAGAACAGAAGATTGTTTCTACAGGGTTGTTGACAACCTTCACCCACCATGTGTATTTCCTGTCAAAGACCCCAAGTTTCTCATCTGGGAGTTCTGCTACCCCGGGCTCTGCAGGAAGCCGAACTTGGGGGCTGACGGTGAACTGCAATACCGAAGACCATCTGGAGCTATGTGGTAGTAGAACAATCTTATTCAGTGGACTTCTGTCTTTGCAGCAACACCCAATGATTATAGGTTCATCTATTTCAGGGTTTCTATAAAGCACTGACATATATATAAAGCACTTTTCCACACTTTTTCTTGTATTAGCCAACACTTCCCTTTTACAGCCTGATAAACTACTATCTTCTTTTTGGAAATGCATTGCTTTCTCACATTCCTTTAACAAGTAAAAACCAAGGTTGACCCATAGCATATGCCTAATCTAGAAGAGTAACATGCAATAAAATATAGACGATTTAAATGCAGGAGTTGTGATGCCTGGGTGTAGACAACACGTCCCAAATTTTCACAGATAACTTTCGGTCTGCATCTGACACTTCGGTTCCTTGTAACCTTGCAAGAAGGGAAAGTCAGCCTCAGCAGACGGCTGTCCTCATCCGGATCCTCAGCCTGGGGAATCATGTCTCATCTTTGATGACCTGCCGTGGCACCGAGCCACACCCCACTGAGCGCTCGTGGGCTGACAGGTGAGTGCCACTGTGTGTGTACAGGCGGGTCCAAGAGTCCCTGCATGTGGCAGGCGAGCCTGCGGGGGATTTAGCTAAGAAGCAGCTAACCCACCTACACACCAGGCTGCAGCTGGCAAGGGATGAGGGTCACGAAGGGAAGTCTTTGTCTACTTCACTGAATAAAATCTATCTCCAAAGAGTATAATGCAAAAATCAAGCTTATGCCTCATCCTGGGTGAAATGCTCTTTATCCACTTAGAATTACCCTAAAGTGGGGCACCTGGGTGGCTCAGTTGGTTGGCATCTGACTTCGGCTCAGCCCCGCATCGGGTAACCCTGCTCGGCGGGAAGCCTGCTTCTCCCTCTCCCTCTGCTGCTCCCCCTGCTTGTGCTCTCTCACTTTCCCTCAAATAAATAAATAAAATCTTAAAAAAAAAGAACTACCCAAACATGCCCTAAAATGATGAAGCTGTGAGACGCATGCTCCCGAACCTCACAACCCATCTCTGCCGGGGAGGCGTAGGGGTAATGACTCAGTCTGGGCTGGTGCCGCCCGGGGCCCCGCACCCGAAAGGCTGGCTCTGCATCATTTAATGTAACATCTGCTTCTTGAGCTGGACTGCCAAGGCAGAAACCAGTGTCATTCCTACTGCCAGTGCGAGCTCCAGTCACAAAAACAAAACTGAAATCTAGACAAAGGTCATCTCATCTCACACAGGCAGATGCAACACGAGCCGTTTTGGTCTTTTAGTTATCAGCTGGTTTCTTTGCAAACCAACCTGACAATGTGCTTTCTCCATGGCCCCTTACCCAGGGACAGTTGACTATTTCCAGAAGTGTACAGATTCCAGTAATTGTGCTGAATGAAGAACTAGAGAAAAGCCTGTTTCTCTTGCTTTTTTGCATAATCACTTTGGAAAGACATGGTCTTTTCCGAGGGGTCCATGTCACAGGGTTTAGACACGAATTCTTTAACTGCCCATCATTCTTGAAGGCATGACTTTTGAGAATATCAGACATTCCCAGATGTAAAATCCAACATCTCGTTAGGGTTGTGACCCACTGATTTCTTGTACCCATCTCTGGCTTTTACTCAGGGAACATTTAGCAAGTAATAACTTTCCATATTCAAACTAAATACTTTTCCTAAACCATTTCCTTCCAGAGTCCCGTTTGTGTGTATGCCGGGCACGGAAGGCGGTGCAAGGGGTCAGCCGGCCTGAAAATGGCCGCTGGGCCCAGAGGACAGTGAAGGAAGCGCAGAGAATTACCGTAAGTGAGGATGTACAGGGGCTTCCCGTTCGTGTCCATCGTGGTCAAGCACGGGGCCTTCGGGGAGATGGTCCCCCATCGCTGCAACGCGGCTTCCAGGGACGGGGGCCAGTTGGTGACCACTCCCAGCTGCTCCCCGCGCATGGCCAACATCTGTGCTCCCTCTGGCTTAGGCTGGTTTGGATCTGGTTGTTGAACTACATGCATTCAAACACAAAGAGTTTTCAAGAGAAGAACATCCCTATCAGTGCAATCACCTTTTTTCTTCTTTTTAAAGAGAGTAGGACACTGACACAAGTTTACTAGTGGACAGAAAGCATGCATGCACACTTTTCTAGAATCAGAGCCAGGACCCACATACTGGCCTCAGGGCTAGAGAGGAAGCACTGAATTCTTACACTGTCCAAGACAATACTGGGATGGTGAACAAAGGGAGACCTGAGCGCATCTGTAAACGGATGCAGGCACTGGGTATTTTAACATGCCTGGAGTCGGGAATAGCAACGGCTCTGTTTAAAATATTAATTATTGATCAACACTTGTGATTCTGGACTCCAGAGCTCAAATCCTGCTAAACTGTATTGCCCTTAAACACTGACATGTAAATGTGAATTTGCAACACATACGCTGAATAACTAGCACAGAGCACATTTTCTAGAGTAAAACAAAAATAAGTGCCCCGTAATGCAATCATACAATTGCATGACGACTCTTCTGTTGAGGTGAGCAACTGGAGGTGGTTTCTCCCCCTCACCGTTCGTGAATGACAATCTCCACCTGCTGGCTAGACAGTCGGCTGTGTCTTACTTGTGGTGCAAAGGGTTTGGGCTGGACGTGGCAAGCATGACTTTGTCTTGACTTTATGTTCAAAGGCTCGTGAATGTGTACAGAGAGCAGGAGAAGGAGCCAGCCAAACACTCACACACTCAGTCCGTGTTCCTCAGAGAGAGCGCGTGGCCGTGAGCCACATCTCACTGTGCTGCCTGACCGAGGCCCGGCTCACAGGGCAAAATCCCAGTCTGCGAGGGCCCCGCACACGTGTGCCCTGGGTGTCTACCCGGCCCGCGTGCACTTGGCCTGTCTGCGAAGGGGGTAACAGGGCCTACAGTCTCCAGATAAGAGTCCCGTCTTCCGGGGAATGCCGAGACTGCTGATCTTAACGGGGCCCGCCACGACGATCTGTGGGGTCACGCGGACATGGGGAGAATGGGGTGGCAAAGGGCCCATCACCTTCCAGCAGTTCTTCAAAGTCATCGACAAAGAACTCCCGTAATGGCGGCCGCTTCGGTCGCTTGAGGGTGTTGACAAGCTGTTGGATTTTCGCCGACACCCGGCTACTTACGGGCACCCCTGGAAGACAGAACCATGGATGGCCTGATGAAGGGACAGTCAGCACCTCACCCGCGGACCAAGCGACCGTGACGCTGGTGCCGGGGCCCCATCTCCAGTGCTGCCCAGGACACCCCACACCGCGAGAGCTTGCCCCTGGGAGGACAGCAGGCCCTGGGGGCTGCAGAGGCCCCAGGAATGACACTCCATGACCACTCTATCCATCACCCGTCGTGGTGGTAGGAGGGATGTCAGACCCCAGGCTGGCCCCGTCCCCACCTCCCGTTCCTGAAACAGGTCTGTCCTTCTTCATTCACAGACTCAGGTCCCTGCTCCAACGGGGTTCAGAGACCCCACGCAGCAGGGAGACCCTCCCCAAGGCCCCGAGTCCTGAGACCACCGGCGCTCCCCTGTGGGGCCAGAGCAGTCTGCCGGACACGTCAAATTCAGGGGGACGGCAGGCCCCTGTCAGGCGCTGTCCCTGCACCTCCTGACAAAAGTGCAGGCACTCGAGGTCCGTGGAGGGCCCGTCCTCTCTCCTCATGGGTACCCAGCACCCTCCCATGTCTTTCAGCCCCACCCACGAGTGCACATTTAGGCAATGCATCCCGGAGCACAATTTAAATGCACCCTAAATTCAATTTTTTGCATAACACAGAATACTAGCCTGTAGCATCTATTCCTGTGTACAAGTAAATTCCATTTTATAACAATATAGCTCTTATTTATAACAACGAATGACATCATTTTGAAAACTGAATAAATGACATGATTGTTGAAAAAGGCATGAACAACCCAAGTTAATGACTACAAGGAGCGCTAGGGTGCTGACATCCTCAAGGGGAAGAAGTGTGTCCTCTGCAGACACATCTCATTCCGCAGAAAGGTGCTCAGACACGCGGACAACCATGTCTTCCAGGCAGAGCAGTCATGCTGGAAACAGGAGCGGCTCGTGGACCATGATGAGGGACACGTGCCCGGTGGGACGGACGGCACAGCTTGGCCATGCTGACCATCTTCACGAAAGTCACATCTTCCTCAGTCTAAAGCACCACGCTAGCCCATACCTGCCGACTGTTTTGTTTTACATTTAACTTCACGCTGCCCTTCTGCCAACCACTCACAGTCTTAACACTTCCACGTTAATTTCTTAATTGCTGAACCACCATTTGTTAACAAGTAGCAAGCACATCAAAATCTTATAAAACATCTGCTTCTTCTCAAGAGTAAATTCCCACCACACTGATGTTTTTTCTGACGTGGAAACACGTGGAGATACTCTGCACTTCTCGTGTCCATGCCACCTTCCGTGGGAGCTACGTGACATATCAGAGTCCACTGTGTACCCACAAGAAACCTCCGCCCCTGCACACAGAAGGGCGGGTTGCAGGGACGGGGTTTACAGAGTCGCCACGACCCCAGGAGACCTACCGTCGCCCGTCTCCATGAGCTCCGCGTTGCCGTACTTGGGTGCCGTCCGTGATGTCGTCGAGCCCTGCGGCCTTTCTACTTGTATTGGGTGTTCTGAGGTGTAAGTGGTCACGTCAGGAGGTGCAGAGTGATTTTCTAGAAAGAAGCAAATCACAAGTTTTCTGATCATCATGACCGAGTTATTCTGAAGGGTAAGTGAGCCACAGGGTTTCACAAACTGCCACGTCCCAAGAGAAGACCAAGAGTCTGAGTCCATGTCTGCTGCAAGTCTCAGCATAAGGATTATCTTTAAGGTAACGTACGCCGCTCAAAATGGAACCAAGGTTGGTACCCCTCTCGACATAAAATTACAGTGGGAGCCACATCAATGAATCACTGCAGTGTGTTAACTAAAATAATGTTCTCAAACTGCCTGTGGAAACAGAGACATTGTAAGTTATGCATTTGTTCATAAACGAGTAATTTTCTCGTCTGTCGTGACAGAGGCAGCGAAGAGCTCAAGCTCTGCAGGCAGATTCTGGGGTCTGCATCCCCGCTCTGCATGTCCCCCAGCTCGTGGGGAATGTCTTAGCCTCTTGTGCCTCAGTGTCCTGCTCCCCAAATGGGACTAATATGGCCGGTCCCCTGCAGGGTGCAGGAATTGAATGAAACATACATAAGGCTCTTAGCACATTTTGTGACGGAGGATAAGCATTCAAGAGCTGTGAGCCGTTCTATTTGTTTTAGCACACATGATACTGTGTGACCATTCCAAACACGTGTCTATCTGTGTATCGGTGCCGCATCCCACACAGTGAGCCATGCCTGCACAGTCCCAGGCGCCAGACCCAGCGGGCATGTGGACACACACGGGGGCTGGGGCTGCCAGCATCCCCCAGTTTGGTGCCCGGTCACCTGCTCATAGTTGCTCCCCTGAGACCGTTACTCACCTGTCTGTGCTTCGGCTTCCTTTTCTGTAAGATGCAGATCATAATGACGGCACCGACCTTAAGGCGGTCGATACACGTAAGCACCCGAGTGATGTTACTGCTGGACGCAGAGAAGTCCGCTACAGGAGAGACCGTGGCTGCAGCACGGTGTGAGTGAGGCGGGAGCAGAACCCCTGCAGCAGCAGCCGTGGGGTCTCCCACGGGGTCTCCCACGGGGTCTCCACGCAGCACACGGGAGCACCAGAGTCCTAGCTGCAGGCCCTCAGCAGACGGCTGGGTTCCCTGCATATCTGCCCTGGTGTGAGCCACGCTGGGTCCCCTCACAGGTCACCCGTGCAAGTCCTCACCCCCAGGACCTCAGATGGGTCTGCACAGAGGTCACTAGGGCCACTCTAACCCCACGTAACTGGGGTCCTCATAAGGAGATCGGGACACAGACACGTGCAGAGGGACGGCCACGTGAGGACCCGGGGAGGGATGGTGTCTGCATGCCCAGGACAGAAGCCTCGGGAGACCCCAGCCCTGCCCACACCTGCACCTCAGGCTCCCAGGCTCAGGACGTGGCAGCTGAAATGGGAGCTCACAGCACTGTGGTTTTATTCAGATTCACTCGTGTTTCAGTTACGCCACGGCTGCGTCTCCGGTGGCGGCCCATCGGGGTTTGTGCTGGGAATGCTCCGCTCTGATGCCGGGGGAAGAATGATTCTGATACATCTGGCAACAGAGACAGCTGGGGGACCCAAAGTGCCTTCCAAATTTACTGATGTATGTGTGTCACCTCCCCTCCACTGTGGGGTCGCTCCCCTCACCGCTGGCTTCTGTTGGGGCGCCAGAGGCCAGTGCCGCTGCGAGACACGCCATGCCCCGTTCTGATGAAGATCGGGACTCCACGTATTCAACTCTGAAGGAAGCTCACGTGTAACAGATGCTCAAGAAACACTTGTTGATGGGCAAGAACAGTGGATTCGGGCTGGAGGCATCGCTCAAAGGGCTGTAATGCTCATCAGCCCCCCACGTGAGCCACGGACAGCCATGTGCAGCAGGAACACCTGCTCACCAGCCCCCGGCGTGAGCCATGGATGGCCACATGCAGCAGGAGCACCTGCTCACCAGCTCCCGGCATGAGCCACGGACGGCCATGTGTGGCAGGAGCACCTGCTCACCAGCCCCCCCCCCACGTGAGCCACGGACGGCCACGTGTGGCAGGAGCACCTGCTCATCAGCTCCTAGCGTGAGCCACGGACAGCCATGTGTGGCAGAAGCACCTGCTCACCAGCACCCCCCCAACCTGAGCCACAGACGGCCATGTGGGGCATGAGCACCTGCTCATCAGCTCCTGGCGTGAGCCACGGATGGCCCTGTGTGGCAGGAGCACCTTGAGATCCTCAGGGCCAGTCTGTATCTTCTGAGCAAGTGAGCACACTGGTTCTTGTGTCAGTTTCCCGGTCCTTTTAAAATCAAGAAAAAAATGGTGGCCACCCTCCAGCCACCTGTCAAGGGTCACCTCCTCCACTGAGAACTCCCCAGAGCTGCCCCCACAGGTGGGTCTTGTGTCATCAATGCTATATGACTTTGCTCCCAGCAGCTGACGGTTCCTCCAGAATCTGCAACTCAAGATGGCACAGATGTGGGGAGGGAAGGAGGTGGGAGGGGGCGCAGTTCAGCTGCCCTTACGACCCGGTAGCAGGGGTCCGGCTCACTCCTCGGACACCCCCTGGGTGTTCTTGCCAGCAATGCCCTGGTCTCCACCCCACCTGGACAGCGGTTTCTGGCCAAGACTGTCTCAGGGTGCAGGCTGGTCTCCCAGCTGAACCTGGAAACCCCCCGCTTCCTGACCTAAGTCTCCAGCTCCATGTGGCTCCCCGGGTCCTACTCAGACACTGAAGTGACACCAACCAGCCCACGGCATCAGCGCTCAGCCCATGTTGGAGAAACAGTCTGAAGAATGAATGAACACAGAATAAATAAAGCAACACTTCAACAACCACAGATATTCCAACATCGGCTAAAAAGCAGCTTTAATTCTGACTGTATGGTGGGGATGCCTAGGGTAAGTGGTGACAAATCCCACTTTAAAGCCATGTTAGTTACTTCTCAGTCCCCAAATAACTTCTGAGGGAACAGTAGGAAATCTGGCTTTTATATGCAGAAAGCACGTGCTCGTGGCCCACTGAAGGACGTGGGCCACAAGCAATGTGTTCAGGTGAACCCGAGCTTTGCTCATGCAGAATGCCCCACACCCCGAGTCCCTGCAGTCGCCTGGACCTCCGTTAGCACTGAGGAGGAAGCGGGAAATGGGCTCCCTGTTACACCCCAGACCACCCTGAGTGCCCAGCTGCTCTGGCTCGCACACCTTCCCCATGGGGGTGGAAAAGCAGGCTCCTCGATGGAGTTGTGGAGGTGAGCCAGACGTGACCTTCTTGGAAGAAGCTGGCCTTGGAGGGGTCAGAGCATCCGCTCTGCGGGGTCCTGTGCCTGACAGCTCCCTGCTTGGGTCCGTCCTCCGCACACAGCCGACCCGGAGAGAGGACCCGCCCCGAATCTCACCAGCCATTGGCCTAACCCGTTACTGCTGGTGGTGATCCACAATGGCCTTTCACATTTCAGGCAGACCATCCACAGACCGCCACTAGGGGTGGTTGCAAGAGGGCTAGGCGGTTCTATACACCAACATTTCTCCGGCCAAAGTTCTGAGTCAGGGGTGACTTTAGGAGGATCGCCAGGTTCTCTGCCCTCCCACACTGATGCCACGTGATCCCATGAAGATAGGACAGCAACAGTCAGATAGGTCTTAGGAAGTATGTGCCAATATCAGAACAGGAAACTTCGACTTCGAACAAGAGCCTCTTGATTTTTATATCAAGTTCAAATTCCTGATGACAGGCTCCAACTGTCCCAACAACTCCAAAGACCACAGACCCTGTGTGTGTGTGTGGGGGGGGGGGTGCTGGGGACACTGAAGTCTTTCTTCACTGTTAATGCAAAGTGTAACTGAGCTTTTGTCTGGAAAGGAGTTCCCTTCCGTTGTGACGAGCTGGTGCTCCTGCATCCCACAGGTCTGTCAGGTCCTGCTGACCACCGACCCGCTGGGCACCTGTGGCCTCACGCCAACATTCCTGGGCCTCAGTCTCCCCCCGCAGAACAAGGGGTGGTGAGCCCTCACCGGGCTGAAGGAACTACATGACAGGGCGCCCCGACGCCCTGGCTAGGATGTGCTTACCCTCAGGCCCGTCGCCCAGGCCTGCAGGCTTCCCTCCACCTTTTCTCCCTGTTTGTGGGGACCCTCTTAGAAGCTCCAAGAGAGAATGTGTGAAACTCATGTGCATAAAGGTGTAAATGGCTCTGTTACTACTTTCCGAGTTAAATGCATTTAAATGTCACAAACGGCAGAACTAAACAGATGCGTGTGTCTGGTGTGCGCCAAGATGTGAGTGCACAGGCCAGTGAGGTGCTCCTGCGGCAAGGGGCGCGTGGAGGAGGAGGGGTTGAGACACCTCTGGATCCAAAAGTCATTACTTTGAGTCTACATATAAAATAAAAAAAAGCGAGTGCTGAGAGGTGAAACTCGCAGGAGCATTTCCGGGGAGAGACAGGAGCAGACCTGTGCCCTAACAGCGCTGAAGGAGCAGTGGGGCTCAGAACAACTAGAAAGCAAAAGGACATGAGGGCACAAGGGGCTGGGACGGTCCAGACGGGAGGCGGGGGTCTGGGGACAGTCACAGAGAGGAGCAAGCCTTGCAACACGTGTGGCAGCCGAACACCCAGACGTGGCTGCACGAGGGTCGTGGGGACAAGGGACCACGGTGCTCGGGTCTCAAGCCTGCTCCTGGGAGGACAGCCTCTTCAACAGGCTGGTCGACAGGGGGACCTGTGTGCAGTGTCGGGAGGCGCTCTGAAATGGGGGCTGTGAGGGAGTCCACGGTAGGAAATGCAGATCTGCGTGTCAGTGAAGAGCAGGCGGCCTCTCGAAAACTGCGTGAGTGCATGAAGTCAGCAAGAACACAGAGAGACAGGGCGAGACAGGAGCCCGGGGTGGGGGGGTGGCTGGCGCGTGGTGCAGGCCGTGAGCAGAGGCCGTGAGCGGCCAGTGACACCCCAAGCTGGGAGGGAAGAGCTGACCTCCCGGGAGCCAGCATCAGAGGAAAGGATGGGCCTCAGAAGAGCGAGCGCCCCTCTCCAGAAGAGCAAACAGGAAGATGCAACGAGAGCAGGACGATGTCTGAGCTGGAGAGGCGTCAGTCGTTAGAGAACGTTCCCCAAGCAGATGGACACAGATGGGCAGAGACGTTCGCTCCCCGTCCCCGAGCATTTCTGCGGGGATCAGCTTCCCGTTCAACTAAACGTGACAACACAGGGTGAGAAGCCTGCATGAAGACCTAACTAAAACCCCCCAGTCGGGGTAGCTGCCGTGGGTCCTGCTCTCAAGCCAGTCCTGGATCACCAAAGGAGCCCCAAGAAATCTGTAACCCACGGTGGAGTGTCTGCGCTGCCTGGGGTGAGCTAACTCACTGTCCGCCTTTCCCTGCTGTCCCAGGAGCCTGGTGTAGAGCTCTCCAGCAGGAGGTGGCCAGTGGTGGATCAGGGGCAGCCTGCCACCTGTTCTTATAAATAAAGTTTTATTGCCACAGGGACATGCCCACCTGCTTACAGATGCCTTTGTTCTAGAGAGCAGGGTGGAACAGCTGCAGGGACACCGCTGGGACCACGAAGCCCAAGTCACTTACACTCCGGCTCTTTGACGGGGAAGTGTGCTGACAGTGCAGCGGTCAGGGAGCTCTCGGGGGTGAGAGACCGTGCAGGGAGACCCCAGCCCCACGCGGGCGAGCTTCACCTCTTCTGCTCCGCCAGAGGAATTGTCGTTCTCCTTTATTCCCTGTTTTATTGTATTTTGCCACTGCTTTCTTTCAAGATTTTTCCTATTTACAGAAAATTTCCAGATATTCTAGGAACTTCTCTTTGTGCCCGATTAGGAATGACTGTAGCGTCACACGCTGTAGGCTCTGTTCGGGTTGCCTTGAGATGTGAGGCACATGAGTCACGCCACCTTTTATAGTCTGGATAAATTTAATCCTCCATGCTATAATTTCCTCCAGGATTTCACACGAAACGTCACAAAGGGAGAACCAAAGGCAGTGATTAATTTGTTTGGAATTATATGTTTCTCTTGGCAAGATTCTGATTCTTCCTTAAAAGTGAACAGAATTGGAGGGCCCAGGCTCCCCAGGCTGGAGTGAGTGGCAGACACGGAGGGACCGCATGCCCCACGTCTAACCATCCGCACAGGTGCCGGACGACCCGCCCAGACGCCACCTCAGGCTCCGAAATGCACGCAAGACGAAGCTGACCTACGTCACGCACACACGCTCTCTTTAGTTTTTAACTGACTCTCGGTGTTGCTGTCACTCACGGGTGTAAAACTGAGCTCTGATAACACCACCTGGCACTGGACCATCACTGTCCAAAAGATGAGAATTTTCCCATTTCCTCCTTTTTACTCACCACAGCTCTGAGAGGTACAAAGCAAAGAATCATTGTTCCTTTTTTTCCCCCACTAAAAAACGAAACAGGAAGAAGTGTTTTCTTAAGATGTCAGAGCCGTTCGTGTGGAAACGGAGACCAGACTAGTTTCTGCCGGAGAAGAAAGAGCTCACCTCTGATTCTTTTATCAGCAAAGTTAAAAGCTGAAGCATTTAACTTCAACTTCATTCGAGTGAGTGCTCCTAGGTCAAAGTCCTAAAAAAGTGGTTTGAGTTTCTGTGAACTCCCTCAAGTAGCTAATCTAGAAACAAAAACCTGTGAGTCTGAGATGTTTGTACGATCTTTACCTGTTCCCTAAGTTTGGGATTTCTGCAGACACGAGGTCTGGTGTGGCAAGGGGTACGTGCTGCCAACCACAGCACAGTGAGGGGTGAGTGTCCTGTGGGCGAGGTGACTCGTGTCCATGTCGCGGTTTGAATGGGGAGCATCCCGAACTATCCTGGCACCACATTCAAAGCAAGCAATTCAGTCTGTGAAGGATCTTTACTGGGAAGCTCAAGAGTCTTAATCTGTCGCTGAAATGGGAGAGCAGAGATCTGGACGCCGTACTTGCCCCTTGCACAGCAGACAAGGACTCGTTTCCTGGTCATAAGGAGCATCGGGCACGGTGGTGACAGAAAGACATGCCCCTCCTTTGCCCACAATTCCGACAGCACCACGGCTCATCCAACACGCCTTCTTCTGCTCCGGTAATTCTTACTTAATCTCCTTTTTCATGCTAGTTTCAAACATCTCAGGCAATGCTTCCTAACTGTGTGCTTGTTCTGATAGAGAGGATCTTATTCATCACAGAACCCACAGAGGATAGAAGACGCACCAGCCAAGAATTTTGAATTCCAAGCGCGGAGAGCAGGCTCCAGCAGAAGCGATAAAAGCCCCCACCTCCTCAAACGATACCCCAAGTAAAAGCAAATTCACTTTAAAATCCCCTGCCTTGTTTATCAGCACTATTAAGACTCCACGTAGAAGCGTGTTTTAGTGTGAGGAGAAAACGTGTAGACACGGGGTTCCACAGCGCCCTAATGAACAAGCATGCATTCCTTTATGAGCAGAAAACCCCTGGCAGCCTAGCCGTCAGAGACATCGGGATGCTGAAAACCAGCAGAACCAAGGGTTTCACAAAAGCAGCAAAGCAGCCAGAGTCGGAGCTGGGCTCTGTGCTGTCCTTTGAATGGATCCGTAAACGCCAAGGGCACAGCCATTAAAGCCCCCTGCTCACCGAGGAGAGCAAGGCACTCACCTATGTGCGTCTGGGCCATGACGTCGGCCAGCCTGTGGGCGGCGCCACTCCCCCCACTTTGGGTAGAAGAGGAAGAGGTCGTGGAGGTGGTGGAGCCGTGGATGGCCTGGCTGATCCAGTGCTCCATGTTGATGCTGCCCTGGCTGGAGGTGGGGGTCCCCTGGGAGTCACCCTGCACCGAGCCTTCGTCTTCCGAGCCAGAAGACGTATCTGTGAAAGAGAGGAGATGCGCTGTGCATCAGAGCAGAAACACACCCAGACCCAACATCGCCAGCAAAGACCCACCACACGCACTACCCGTCCAACACCTTTTGCTTTGAACTCTCTTAAAAACCAGTTACACCACATCTCAGATAATGCATTATTTTTTTAGTATAATGAACTTTTCATCCAGAACACCTTAATAAATATGCTACAAAAATCTGTGTGTTTGTTTGTTTTGATATTACAATTTCAGGCAAAGACACTCGCCAACTTGCTCCACTCAACAGTTTGGGAAGAAACCAAATATTTCCAGGCATGCATACAGCAAGCAAGAGGGATGGCGGCAGCATTCTCTAAGAGGTGTTGAACTTTCATGTGTTTGAAAGTGTGTTTGTAGCCCTTTAGAGACCAGAGGTGTTTCTCTGAGCTATAATTTATTTTTAAATTCTGTGCGAGTGAAGATAACCATGTGCGTCCTCGAAGAGGAAGATGTCAGCGGAGACAATGGTGTGGAAGTTAGAAGGACTGCCATCTCTTTCCCACCAACCTACATGCTCAAGACTTTGCTTCCTCCTTTGGTGAGGACAATACGTCATCATATTACATATTAAGAGCAAGCTAGATGTATTTAACATTCATTTCTAGGGGCGCCTGGGTGGCTCGGTGGGCTAAGCGTCTGCCTTCGGCTCAGGTCATGGTCCCAGTGTCCTGGGATCGAGCCCTGCATCGGGCTCCCTGCTCCGCGGGAAGCCTGCTTCTCCCTCTCCCACTCCCCCTGCTGTGTTCCCTCTCTCGCTGTGTCTCTCTCTGTCAAATAAATAAATAAAATCTTAAAAAAATTCATTTCTAATACAATTTTTTCACTATTTACTAATTTTTTTTCTCTGTGAAAATTGTGCATCTTAGATTGGGATAAAACACGTCACCCTGTACATTAAAATTAATGGAACTATTTTCATTTAATAAGATTTCCCCTAGCAGAGAAGTTTTCAAGAATTAAATATTGGTGTACTTGTTATTTAAATACCCATGTAAGAGTGAATTCTGGGTCCTACCACTGTGAGTTATGGGAGATGCCAGGAGGGATAACAGACTGTGAGTAGCTCAAGAACATCTAATGACAATGAGAGAAATGACAATTTTCTTAAGTCAAGACATGGGATTCTTTTTTTTTTCCCAACACAACAATATTTGTGAAGAATATTTATACTCACATTTTGTTAAAATTGTGACATGACCTGCGCTATCTGGAATATTTTTGAAAGTCTGTTAGGAATTTGTTAGAAAAACAGCAGTAATAGTAAGAGCCTGACAAATTCTCTCCCTCTGTCCTGGCTCATAAAATAGTGGGATTATAATTTACAGAAAAATAAAACTGATACTTTTTTTTGTATTCAGACCTAAGACTTCTTTCAGTTTTTTGATTGTGATAAAATACAACCCAAAATTTACCACCTTAACCATTTTAAAGAAGTTCGGTAGTATCAAATACACTCATAATCTGTGCAACCGTCCCCACCATTTTCCTCAATAGGATCTGAAACTGTCCCCATTAAACAATAACCCTCCATTCTCCCCTCCCCACAGGCCCTGGACCGCCATTTTGCTTTCTCTATACATGATGTGGGCCACTCTAAGTACCTCATATGAGTGAAATCATACACTATTTGTCTTTGTGTGCGTGGCTATTTCACTCAGCATAACATCCTCAAGATTCATCCATGTTGCGGTGTATTGCAGAATGTCCTTCCTTTTTAAGGGTGAATTATATTCTATCTCATGTGGATACTACATTTTACGTACACATTCATCTGTGGATGGACATGGGTTGCTTCCATGTCTAGCTATCACGGCGCTCCTCTGAATATGGCCGTACAATTACCTCTTTGAGACCCTGCGTTCAATCCTTTTGGCTATAGACCCAGAAGTGGAATTGCTGGGTCATGTAATATTTTTATCTTTTAATTTTTTAAGAAACTGCCATACTGTTTACCACAGAGGTGGCACCTTTTTACATTGCCACCAACAGTGCACAAAGGTTCAAATTTCTCCATGTCCTCACCAACACTTGTAATTTTTTACTTTTTTTTACAGTAGCCATCCTAGTGGGTGTGAGGTGGTATCTCATTGTGGTTTTGACTTGTGTTTCCCTAATGATCTCTGATGCGGTGCATTTTTTCTTGCATTATTGGCCATCTGTATCTTGTTGGGAAAAATGTTCAAGTCCTCAGATTTACGGTTTTTGAGAAACACATATACCCATATATCCATCCAAATATTACCATCTCCCTACCAAGTGTTCTCATGCCTCTTTACTGTCAACCTTTCATTCCTACCCCACACCTTTTCACAAGAAAACCACAGAAAAATATCCCTTGTGACACAGACACAAAAATCCTGAAAAAGTATTAGCAAATAGAATCAAGCAACATATAAAATGGATAGTACACACCAGGACCAAGTGGTGACGTTCAAAAGCGAATTAATGTTATACCCCATATTAATAAAGGGAGAAAAACCCTAAATTAACCTTGAAAGTCACAGAAAAAGTATTTCACAAAATCTAACATTAACTCATGATAAAACCTCTCCACAATGCAGGAATAGAAAGGAACTTCCTCAACCTAACATAGGGCATCTGTGAAAACCCATAGTTAACACTGCATTTCATGTTCAGACTGAACATGTTTCCCCTAAGATCAAGACTCAGGTAAGGATATCCCCTCTTACCACTTTTATTCAACGTTATCTGCAAAGCTCCAGCCAGTGAAATACAGCAAAAAGAGTAACTTAAAGGCATCCAGATTGGAACAGAAACATTAAAACATTCTTTAGTCACAGATAGTATGATCTTGTACGTAGAAAATCCCAAGGAACACACTAAACAGTTCTTGAATGAATGAATGTTTAGCAAGGTCACAGGATATAAGATAAAGATACAAAATATCTTTATACAGATCTAGACACAATTAAGGGAAGGATTGTGTATCTGGCAAAGGACTTGAAATCAGATTATATAAAGAACTCTTAACTAGTGAGAAGACAGACAATTCATTTTAAAAATGGGAAAAAGTGTGGACACTTAACCAATGAATATATACAAATAGCAAGTAGGCCCATTCAAAAATGCAAATTAAAACCATGATGAGATTACATTTCATATCCACTAGAATAGCTACAATAAAAAATACAGACAATACTAAGTGTTGGTAAGGATGCTGAGAAACTGAAATCCTCTTATATTGCTAGTGGGAATGTAAAATGGTGGCAGTCATATGGAAACAATTTGGCAGTTTCCTGAAAGTTCAGCATAAACTAACCATAAGATTCATTAATTCAACCTCTAGGAATCTACTCAAGATAAATAATATATGTATACACAAACATATGTACATAAATGTGGATAGCAGTCTTATTCATAATAGCCAAAAACTGGAAAGAAGCTAAGTATCGACCAACTAGTGAGTAGATAACCAAAATGTGGTGTATCTAATAGGATACAATTCAGCAACAAGAAGGAATGAATCGATGCATGCGACAACATGGAGGATGCTCAAAAATATTATCCTAAAGAAGCAAGAGGCAAAAGAACGTATTTTATAATTTTATTTATAAAATGTCTAGAATATTTATAGAGGCATATAAATTAGATCAGTGACTCCCTATGGCTCAATGTGAGAATGGGAATTAACTGCAGATGGGTACAAGGAAACTTTTGGGGTGATGGAAATGTTCTAAAACTAGACTGTGGCAATGGCTGCATAATCTATGTATTTATTAAAAATCAATGAGTTACACACTTATAATAGGTTAGTTTTATGGAATGTAAATTATACTTCAAGAAAGGTATTAAAGATGAATGTGTGTTCTACAGTAGTTGAGTATAATATTCTGTGAATATCAACTGCATCAAGTTGGAGGATAGTGTTGTTTTGACAACTTATTATTTAAGAAAGGTATTTTTTAAATCTCCAATTATTATTCTTGATTTTTCTATTTTCCCTCATTATGCCAGTTTCTCCTTTATAAATTATTTTTTTAATTTAATTTTATTATGTTATGTTAGTCACCATACAATACATCATTAGTTTTTGATGTAGTGATCCATGATTCACTGTTTTCGTATAACACCCAGTGCTCCATGCAGTACGTGCCCTCCTTAATACCCATCACCGGGCTAACCCATCCCCCCACCCCCCTCCCTCTAGAACCCTCAGTTTGTTTCTCAGAGTCCATCGTCCCTCATGGTTCATCTCCCCCTCCGATTTCCCCCCCTTCATTTTTCCCTTCCTTCTCCTAATGTCCTCCATGCTATTCCTTATGTTCCACAAATAAGTGAAACCATATGATAATTGACTTTCTCTGCTTGACTTATTTCACTTAGAATAATCTCCTCCAGTCCCATCCATGTTGATGTAAAAGCTGGGTATTCATCCTTTCTGATGGCTGAGTAATATTCCATTGTATATAAGGACCACATCTTCTTTATCCATTCATCTTGTTGAAGGGCATCTCGGCTCCTTCCACAGTTTGGCTATTGGGGACATTGCTACTATGAACGTTGGGGTGCATATGGCCCTTCTTTTCACTACATCTGTGTTTTTGGGGTAATCCTTTATAAATTATAATGCTCTTTTGGTTATATATTCATTATTATGTCTTCCTGATGAATTGTTCACTTTCCATTATGCAAGGTTCCTCCTTATATCTTGTACTACTTTTGTCCTGCTATTTGTCTGATATTAAGAAAGACTTGTTTGCTTTACATTTAATGTTTGCATTGTGTATTTCTTCAACCTTGTATTCTTAATTAGCCTAATTTTTTTATTTAAATGTGTCCTGGTTCACTCAGTTGGTGCAGCATGTGACTCTTCATCTTGGGGTTGTGAAGTTCGAGCCCCACACTGGAGGAAGAGTTTACTTAAAAAAAATACGGCTGTGTCTCTTATAGACAACATAGAGATGTATCTTCTTTTTTTTTTTTTATCCAGTCTGACAATTTCAAT